GAAGGATTGGTGAATGTTGCCTGGGTGGTGCTGCATCGCACCACATTGGAGCTGAGACAGCTGATACCACATCTGCGCTTTCAGGTTCCATTTCTGGGGCCGGAAAGTCAATTGAAATCAGGCTTCGCATGTGCAGGCCTCCTCTGTATTTCCGGTTTTGAGGTTGGCTGGGGACTCGGGCCACTATAATACTATTTTAAAGGTAACCCAGTGTCCGCGGCTACTTGGAACCAACCAATGAAGGCGATCTCGTCGCGTAGTGGTATAATGCCCGTCTCAGGACCGTGCATAGACAGCTAGCCGCGGATCGATTCCCGCCGGGTACGGGGCCGCGATCGTGACGTGGTAGACGAGTAAGTCTACCGTAGACCCGCCGAAAGGCAACGGGCTCGGGCCACAAAAAAAACTTGGAACCAACCAATGACCCCACAGAAACCCTTTAGAATTAGTCCGGCACCTTTCCGAAGTCACAGTCAAGTAGCAAGGAGCCTTTCTTGTCACAAACCATGCAAGTATGACAAACAAGGGGCCCTTTTTTTGGTCCTCACAACGTAACAAAAAACAGGCGCGCAAAAAGGGACCTCCCCAGTTCAAGATTCCAGTCGCAGCTGTTGCTGGTCAAATCAGTTTCAACTTGAAATAAACGCTTCAACAGATTTGTGACAATGAAGGGGCCACTTTTGATTTCAAGGGGGTCCACTTTCTGACCCTTTTTAAATACGTTTCCTTTGCACGGGGGTCCAAAACTGGACCCTCAACAGGTTGAATCTGGTGCCTCCTTGGAGGTCCGGTTTTAAGCCTCCAATGTAGAAGCCTATCAGCGTCACACAAAAACATCGCGTTGGCAATAAGGTCCTCGAACAAGGGAGGCCCCAACTCCGTCTCCAAAAACTGGTCCCTTGTACCTGCTTGTCTCGATCATGAGAATTGTTGATGAGAGAGGTCCCGTTTCCAAAGCCTGCAATCGTTGCGCTTTGAGGCTCGGCGAGGCCTGGCCGAGGCCACGCCTCGGACGCAAAACGTATTGGCACAAGGACAAAGCGAGGCTCACGGGGACTCGAAACTATACAATGCTATTGTTGAAGTCCCAGCAAGGCTGAACTTGAAGTGGTTGGTAACTGTGTTGCCTCGCAGGCTCTGATGCATTTGAAGTTTTCTGAGGTTTTTTGAGGTTTTGCTTCCGACTGCTTCCAATACGTTTTGAGGTTCTCAATCGATTGATGAGGTTTTTTGAGGTTCTGGTTTCGAAGGCTTCTGCCAGTCTATTCCGGTTTTGAGGTTGGTTGGGGACTCGGGCCGCTATAATACTTTTTAAAGGTTACCCAATGTCCCAACCAATGACCCCACAGAAAACCCTTTAGAATTTTAGTCCGGCACCTTTCCCAAGTCACAGTCAAGTAGCAAGGAGCCATAATCTCTTCACTGCAGCAACTTGGAACATGATTTTTGGTGTCGGTCCTCGGTCTCTTTCTGTTGTGTGGTTTTTATTTGCTGTCTCCGTTGTCTGACTGGAGGAAGTGTGACTTGACTTTTCTCCGGCCTTGTCTCTCAAACTCGGTCTTTTTATTCGGCTAGCAGGCCTACTTTGGCTTTGTATATTTTCTTAAAGTGAAGATTGTACACAGATCTCAGGAAAAACAATCAGTATTGAAGGTGCATCTAGCCTCGTAAGGATCCGCTGACATGCTCCAAGAAGTATGAGAAGATCCTCTGGAGATTCTGGTGAAGTCCTCACAAATGCATGATCCTGTACAGGTCGTTAATAGAATTAGAAGATCTTTGCCGAGGTCTTGGTCAAATCCTTTCTTGGAGTTGCATGAAGACCATGCAGATTCCATGTAGTTTGTAGATCCTGATGGAATCCTCTAAGAGATCCTTGCAGTGCATGATCTTATACACGTCCTTGTGAGCAGATCTCGTGTAAGGCCGTGGTATGACGTCCTGATGAGTTCAAAATGTATATGTATATGTATATGTATATGTCTATATATATATGTATATGTATATGTATATGTATATGTATATGTATATATATGTATATGTATATGTATATGTAAATGTATATGTATATGTGTATGATATGGATATGGATATGGATATGGATATGTATATGTATATGTATATGTATATGTATATGTAGCACCGTAGACTTAGATTGTGGAATATGGAAGAAGGTGGCGTGCTAAGTGTGGCGTGTAGAGTCTGGAGTGTAAAGTATGGAGTGTAAAGTGTTGAGTGTCAAGTGTAAAGTGTAAAGGTGGAGTGTGGATCGTGGAGAGTAGAGTGTAAAGTGTAAAGTGTGGAGTGTAAAGTGCAGAGTGTGGAGTGTAAAGTGTGAAGTCTGGAGTGAGGAGTGGCAAGTGCAGACTGTGGAATGTTTAGTGTGGAGTGTAAAGTAAGGAGTGTTGAGTGTAAAGTGTGGAGTGTGGAGTGTGTAAAGTGTAGTGTAGAGTGTGGAGTGTAAAGTGTGGAGTCTGGAGTGTGGAGTGGCAAGTGCAGAGTGTGGAATGTGGAGTGTGGAGTGTAAAGTGTGGAGTGTAAAGTGTAGAGTGTGGAGTGTTGAGTGAGGAGTGTGGAGCGTGTAAAGTGTAGAGTGTGGTGAGGGTGGAGCGTAGAGCGTAGAGTGTGTAGAGTGTAGAGTGTGGAGTGTAGAGTGTGGAGTGTAGAGTGTAAAGTGTGGAGTGTAAAGTGTAAAGTGTGGAGTGTAAAGTGTGGAGTGTAAAGTGTGGAGTGCACAGTGTGGAGTGTAAAGTGTGGAGTGAAAAATGTGGAGTGCGAAGTGTAGAGTGTGGAGTGTAAAGTGTGGAGTGAGGAGTGGGGAGTGTAAAATGTGAAGTATACAGTGTGGAGTGTAGAGTGTAAAGTGCAGAGTGTAAAGTGTAGAGTGTGGAGTGTGGAGTGAAAAGTGTAGAGTGTGGAGTGGCATTTGTAGAGTGTGGAGTGTGGAGTCTGGAGTGTAAAGTAAGGAGTGTGGAGTGTAAAGTGTGGAGTGTAAAGTGTAGAGTGTGGAGTGTTGAGTGAGGAGTGTGGCGCGTGTAAAGTGTAGAGTGTGGTGAGGGTGGAGTGTGGAATGTAAAGTGTAGGGTGTGGAGTGTGCAGTGTGGGGTGCGGGGTGTAAAGTAAGGAGTGTGGAGTGTAAAGTGTGGAGTGTGCAGTGGGTAAAGTGTAGAGTGTGGAGGGTAAAGTGTAGAGTGTGTAAAGTGCAGAGTGTGGAGTGTAGAGTGTGGAGTGTAGAGTGTAAAGTGTGGAGTGTGGAGTGTAAAGTGTAAAGTGTGGAGTGTAAAGTGTGGAGTGTAAAGTTTGGAGTGCACAGTGTGGAGTGTAAAGTGTGGAGTGTAAAGTGTGGTGTGCAAAGTGTAGAGTGTGCAAAGTGTAGAGTGCGGAGTGTGGAGAGGAAAGTATAGAGTGTAAAGTGTAGAGTGTGGAGTGTAAAGTGTTGAGTATGGAGTGTGGAGTGTAAAGTGTAGGGTGTAAAGTGTAGAGTGTAAAGTGTAGAGTGTGGAGTATAAAGTGTGGAGTGTAGAGTGTGGAGTGTGGAGTGCAAAGTGTAGAGTGTGGAGTGTGGAGTGAAAGTGTCGAGTGTACAGTGTAGAGTGTGGAGTGTAGACTGTAAAGTGTGGAATGTAAATTGTTGGGTGTGAAGTGTAAAGGGTGGAATGTGGAGTGTAGAGTGTGGAGTGGTGTGCCTGCCGCACAAAATGGGGACAGAGATCTCCAAAATGCTGCGCCTGCCACGAAAACTGCAACTCATCTTGTGAAAAGGACGCACAAGTATTGCCGCTCCCACACAAAACGATTTTCGACACGTTATCAAACAGGTTGGAATGTCACACTGTGCCGCGCCTGCCACGCAAAACGACTTGACAACCTGCTTGGAAACTTTCGAAAGGAGAGGTTTCCCCCATAGACACGGCGATGCCACAGGAAAACCAGAGACTCGAGACGAGACACTTGGGAGAGACGAAACGAACCTTTCGTGCGAGACTTCCTCCAATTTTCACATTTTGTAGCTTCAAAACCGACGTTTTCCGACGAATTTTTTAGGAACCTCTAAATTTGCTATTTCAAAATCGATGTTTCGTGCGAGGCTTCCGTCAACTTTCATCCACTTGACGCAGCCTTGACGATGCGATTCGCAAAAAACACACAACACGACACGTCTAAAGTGCTGCGCTTGCCACGCAAAATGACGATGGACACGTCCAAAGTGCTGCGCCTGCCACGAAAACTGCAACGCATCTTCTGAAAAAGGTCGCAAAAGTATCGCGCTTGCCACACAAAACGACTTTCGACACGTTACAAAAAACGTCTGAATGTCACGAAGTGCCATGGCTGCCACGCGAAACGAAGCAACGCGACGTTTGAAACCTCCAAAAATGACCCCTTCTGCAGAACTTACCATAGGCACGGCCATGTAGCAATACCGCGGACGGTTGCGGACGGTTGCGAACGGTTGCCGACGTAAACGCAACGTCGAGCGAACACACCCTCAACCCCCAGACCCCCAGAGTGAAACGGGAACCCTTGCTATCCCAAAGAGGCCTTTGTTTTTGGTTTGCTATTTTACTTTCTTCAGTGTATGGGGACATGTTGTGCTTACGGTCATACTGCAGCGTTTTCACCAGCAGCAAATTGTCAACATGGTCGAACGAATTACACCTCTCCCCCGGGAAAGGCAGAACCATTTTTTTTCAAATTGTTGCATCATTTTTCGTTTGCAATTTGTTTTTTGATTCTACACGTGTTTAGTTTCTTCACCAACCTGTCCTACTGGCACTTTCAACATCAATTCGGCCGCAAATTTGTTGTGCGTTTTGGTTCAAAAACCGGAGGTGCTTCTGCCGGAAAATAGTGCAGCAAACGCAACCCAACAATGCATAAACATTTTTTACAAAAAATGTCACAATTTCCAATGTAAGATTTGGAAGCAGCATGGCCTCGAATGATTGAAACCAATTTTTGTTGTTCAAAATTTGAGTATGCCTGGGATTTGACAACCGCGCTTCGAGAGTGCCACAAGAACCATGGCCATGCAGCCCATTCACCGGGTTTGGGCCACGCATCCGCCCAACTCGTTGTTTGCCAGCCATCAGCCTGACAAACAGTGGCAGCAAGAGCAGGAACCCAGCCTTGCTCGTTCGTTGTCAATGTTGTAGTGGGTGTTGCCCAGAAAAATCATGCATCCATCCAGTTTTTGTTTTCCAATGGGATTGACAGGACATTGCAATTGGTGAACGAAAATTGAAGCAAATTTGCTTGCCATCGCACAGGTACCCAATGTGCAACGGTTGGGTTCGCGATTGGCAGCAGGCTTGGTGTGGAAGGGAAACAATTCATGATTCTTCAGATTGTCTTAAAACCACAAACTGATTATATAACTTATGTTACAATATATCACTGACCTTGAATCATGGCAAAATACCAACACCACACCATTTGTTGACAGCACGTCAACGATGGATTGTGAAAAACCAACTTGGTTCACAACTTGGATTCACGATATTTTTTTTGAGGTGTAACCGAATATCCCACAATTTAAACTGTTTTGAAACGATACCTTCATTTATTACCACTGTTTGAGAGTGCCATTTTCCACCATATTTTTATGCGCCGTCCAAACGACGAATCATCACATTGAAATGGACATACAAAATGTACTGATACAGGTCGTTTTGGGATCAAAACCTGAACCAACAATTATTGATTTCGGCGAGTACCTGATTGTGTACCTACTACCACGTTCCAGCAAATTCTGTTTGGTGTTGAAGTCTCAGCGCGACAATCAGTACACATGTCAGACAATCGATGAAAAAAACGTTATTGATGCTTGTAACCAGTCCCTTAGCATATCCAGTCATATGAGAATCACTTGTAATCAATTTCGTTTAGTTTTTACCGTTGCAGTTTCCACCATTTTGATTTACCAGCGCCACCAGGCCTTGTCATTGGGACTTTCACCGGAATGCTGGCATCTCGTCGTGCGTCCAGGAACACTTTCGGCCGACCGTGGCGCAAAACCTGGGTTGCTTGGAATTGCATCTGTGTGACATTGGTTTGCAAAAACCATAGTTACCCAAACTTCACAGGATTGCCACAATTATTTTTTTTTACCAACAACAACAAATTGTGGCCGCCATTAATTCCCAAGGTCCGTGCTCCGGCAGAAGCAGTGGAGGTGCTGACTACTCCCAAAATTGAAGATGCAAACATTTTACCACCAGAAGAACCCCAAGATGAACATCAATTGATTGTTGTCCTAGTGGCTGCAGCGTAACTTGGCTGGTATCCTTGGAGCAGTGCGTCAATCGGTATGTGTTTTTTTTTGTACCGCACTTAGGTGTTGAATGCGAAAAAAAACAAAAAAAACTGGAAAGGATAGGTTTTTCAAGCGAACATGGCCGCAAATTTCAGCTCTCAGGTATGTGATTTGGCAGATGGACAAAGTCAACATGTCTATCGCTATTCTTCCAATGGCCGCAGACTTTTCTTGGGATAGCTCAGAGCAAGGCATCATTCAGAGCTCCATTTTTTGGGGCTATGCTGCCACCCAAGTCCTTGGTGGCTTGCTGGCCACTCGTTTTGGCCAGCAGCTCAGTTTGTGGATGCGGTTCGCCATGAGATTGAACCAGAGTGTATTTTGAGGGTTCTCTTGAGATTTGTGATTTGTGAGGATTTGTTTTTTCCCGAGAGCGTCTGAGCGAAGGGTTCTTCTAAAAGTAGAGGTCTGCTATACATCTTCACAATATGTTCACATCTTCATCACATCTTCATCACATCTTCTCACCTTCTCACCTTCTCATCTTCACATCTTGACATATTCATCTTCATATCCTCACATCTTCTCATCTTCTCATCTTCACATTTTCACATCCTCACATCCTCACATCTTCACATCTTCACATCTTCACATCTTCACATCTTCACATCTTCACATCTTCAAATCTTCACATCTTCACATCTTCACATCTTCACATCTTCACATCTTCACATCTTCACATCTTCACATCTTCACATCTTCACATCTTCACATCTTCACATCTTCACATCTTCACATCGTCACATCCTCTCATCCTCTCATCCTCTCATCCTCTCATCCTCTCATCCTCTCATCCTATCTCTCCCTCTCTCTCTCTCTCTTCCCCTCTGTCACGGTCTCTCTCCTTCTTTTTCTTTTCTCTTTTAAAGCGGCAGGCAGTGCCGACGAGGCGCCACGAAATGGCAACCTTTTCGCACGAAATGAGGTTCGACTGTCAAAAACTGAGGTAAAATTGCGATTTTAAATTGTCGGCGGCAACCTTTTCGCACGAAATGAGGTTCGAGTGTCAAACACTGAGGTAAAATTGCGATTTTATAGTGTCCGCGGCAACCCTTTCGCACGAAACGAGGTTCGAGCGTAGAAGTCGGTGTGTGCGAAAGGGTTTGTGTGCGAAAGGGTTTGTGTGTAAAAGCGTTTGTGTGTAAAAGGATTGTGTGTAAAAGTGTTTGTGTGTAAAAGCGTTTGCGTGCAAACGTGTTTGTAGAAGCGTTGGTGTGTAAAAACGTTTGTGTCTAGAAGGGTTTCTGTGTACAAGCATTTGTGTGTAAACATTCTTGTGTGTAAAAGCGATTGTGTGCAAAAACGTTTGTGTGTGAAAGGGTCTGTGTGTAAAAGCGCCTGTGTGTAAAAGTGTCTGTGTGCAAAAGTGTTTGTGTGTAAAAGGATTGTGTGTAAAAGTGTTTGTGTGTGAACGAGTTTGTGCGTAAAAGCGTTTGCGTGTAAACGTGTTTGTAGAAGCGTTAGTGTGTAAAAGCGTTTGTGTGTAGAATTGTCTTTGTGTACAAGCCTTTGTGTGTAAACATTCTTGTGTGTAAAAACAATTGTGTGTAAAAGAGTTTGTGTGTGAAAGGGTCTGTGTGTAAAAGTGTCTGTGTGTAAAAGTGTTTCCGTGTAAAAGGGTTGTGTGTGAAAGTGTTTGTGTGTAAAAGAGTTTGTGTGTAAAAGGGTTTGTGTGTAAAGGTATTTGTGTATAAAGGTGTTTGTGTGTAAAAGAGTAAAAGAGTCTGTGTGTAAAAGTGTTTGTGTAAAAAAAACGTATGTGTGTAAACGTGTTTGCGTGTAACAGTTTTTGTGTGTAAAAGCGATTGTGTGTAAAAGTGTTGGTGCGGTAAAGAACTTGTGTGTAAAATCACTGTTGTGTGTGAGGCATGTTTGTATGTATGAGCATGCTTGTATGTAAAAATGTTTGTTTTAATTTGTTCTTCCTGTGTCTCCTTCGTTTCATCTTTCTTTTCTTTCGCCTTCAATTTCTTCATATGTAACTACTTTTTACAACATGTCTGCACCATGTCTCCTCATTTTACGCATCATCGTATATTCTTATATTTATGTTTCATGCTATTAGATCTTCATACTTATACCCCTCACTATGCTCCTCTACGCTCTCGGGCCATCCGTCGTCTAGTTATTCTTCCGTTGTGCTTTTCGAACTGAACTCGAAGATTCATCTCTGGAAACCACATGCCATCTATGCAATCTATGCCATGCCACAACCGTTCAACATATGTCAACATCGAACAGCATAATCGAACCAAGGTGGCAAGCGTGTGTTGCTCTTCGCCGTGGCTTTGTGGTCTTTGGCCACGATGTTGGCGCCCAGCGCGGCCACGGTCTCCACCGAAGTCTTCATCGCGAGCCGCGTCCTGGTGGGCATCGGAGAGGGCCTGGCCCCTGCTGCTGGGCTACGGATGGTGGCCACCTGGGTGCCTGAAGCGGAACGCAGCCGCGCTGTTGCCACGCTGGGAGCGGGGAAGACAGGAGGATCCATTGCGGGGCTGCTGCTGGCGCCAGTGGTCATTGGAGCCTTTGGATGGCAAGCCATGTTCTACTCCTTTGGGGTGCTGGGATTGTTCTGGGCGGCAGTGTGGTGGGTGAAAGGCCAAGATCGAGAGGGTAACTGGGCTATACTGTTTGGATCTATCAATCTGATGCAGAGCAACCTATTTACTTTGCTAGTAGAATTTGGAAGTCTTTCATGTTTTGATTTGTTTTGATATGACAACTAAGGCAGTGTGGGAGCCAGCGGTGATCAAGATATCCCTTGGTTTCCCATTCTCTCCACTCCTCCTTTGTGGGGTGTTGTGGTGGCGCACTTTTGCCATGACTTTGGTGGATATGCGTTGCTCACCTGGACTCCCACCTACTTGAACAAGGCCGGGGGCAGCGAAACGGTGGCCAAACCCTGTTAGACTGCCCCAAAGTTTTCGATAGAATTGCTTGCGGCTACACAATCGGCTAGTTAGCAACAAAAACCATCAAGAACCAACCACAACCAGCCACAACCAGCGGTAAATAGCCATGCCTGACAGAGCCTGACAGAGCCTGACAGCCAATCTGTGGCTAAGTTGTGACATGTTGTGATCGGGTCAGGGGATTCAACCGAGGCCATGGGCTACGACTTGACGGGCAGCAGCGAGCTGACAGTGATCCCCAGCGTCTGCGCTGTGGCGGTTGCTGCCATGGCTGGCACGGCCGCGGATCACCTCCATGGCAATGGCATGTCCTTGACGACGGTACGGAAGATCTTCCAGAGCTTGGGTCACTCGGTCACTGTCTTTGAATGTCTTAGAATAGCCTCGGAACATTTTCCATAAAAACATTGATGGACATATTGCGACAGAGATTTTGATTTTGCATAGTGTTGAAGTGCATTTCTTTGTTTTTTGGGTGGGAATCTAAAAAGATCATGAGACTCCAGTTTTTTTAAACTTTCAAAGGTAGCATTGGAAACCCAGGATTCTTCATTCCATGTCTCATGCTGGGGTTATTGGCCAACATGTCCGATGTGGAGCCTGGCTCAGTGATGCCAATCATCCTGCTCACTGTGGGTATTGCTTCTGGTGCTTGCTCCTATGCTGGGCTTTATTCAAGCCATGCGGATACTCAGTGCTCATTCATGTTTTTTTCAATCCTTTGAGATTGGATCCCTGGCCCAAATTAGGCTAGCCATAACATCATCATTGCTTCATGTTACTTCCAAAAGTTTTTCTAGAAACTCATGAGGACCTGAGTGCCAAGTACAGTGGCATCGTCAACGGCGTCTCCACCACCTTTGGCGCCTTGGCCGGGGTCTGTAGCAACGCCTATGTAGGCTACGCCCTAAAGGCCACCGACTCCAACTGGGCGCTGTCGCTGTTCCTGCCCTCCATCGGGCTGTACGTGGTGGGCTGGCTGGTGTACACCGTGCTCTACGATGCCACGCCGATTGATTGGGACAAAGAAACCAACTCAACCGTTGACTCAACCGTTGACTCAACCTGACAAGGACATGGCTGAGAAGCATAGCTGAATGTTGATGAATGTTGATGGATATTGATGGATGTTGGCTGTGTTTCACCCATTTTCTACCTCCTTTGAGGTGCTGAGGTGCCGATGGCACATCTTTTCCAGGTCACTCATTGATTTCAGTGATGGTTTCCGTCAAAAGTGAGGCTGCATAGTCTGTGCCCACGTCGAGGCTCATTTGATTTGCAAAGTTGTTGGTGACTTGTCTGATCAATGGATCCTAAGACATGCAGCATTGCAGGGCATGTCAGGCTTGATCCTGCTGGCTTAAAGACTTCTTGCTTTCCTCAGCATGTTGCTTGGCTCAGGGATCTGTCAGCTTTGAGTACCTGTGTGAGTTTGGCTACCATTGGACCCAAGAAACCAGGCAGTTCTTGCCAGAACTGTGGGACAGCTCATCGCGTCCAGATGAATGCCAGCAAAATCCAACAATAAAACATCCCTCTTGCCATCTTTGGAATAACTAATAGCAACACTCACTACAAACTTGGCCATTACCGCCGTTACCGCCGTTACCGCCATTAGTGTTTTCCTCTGTTTTCCTTTCCGATTTTCGCAGTTACTAAGTTACCATTTTCGCAGTGCTCTTGGAGCTGCTGCCATTGCGATGTTGCAACGCGCTGGAAGCTGTGGGGAGCGGGAGCCCAGGAAGCCCAGCCATGAAGCCGCTAGGACTTGCCATGGCCGGGACTCTGAAGGAACACAGCAGCAACGATAGCTTGACAGCTTGACAAGTTGTCATATATTAGAGTGACTGCAGTGACTGCGTATCTCTGTCATTTCCTTGTTGATTCTCTTTCTTCCGGCGTGAATGGTTTCTTTTTGACTTATATAATATGTTTTAAACATTTTTTGGTGCTTCGTTGAAAGATATTCTTTTGTTGTATGTCATGCTTTGTCCTTCAAGACATTTCGACACTCACTTTTAGCCTCCAGCTTCCCAAACTGCTTGACTTTCCTTTGTTTGCACCAAATTGATTTCAGAACCTATGACAGTTTGTTTGACTTTCCATTTTCTAGATGAGGATTCAAACATGGTCACGCAATGCCTATGTTTTCCTCTTCTCCCTGTGAGGCCCGCCAAGCTGGGGCCTTTGCTCGCACCTTCCTGACCGTGCAGAGCCACCGCAGCATGAGCGAGGCGGTGGAATTAACTTCTTGAAAGATAGGGGTTTGAAAGATCACACAGCAGACATCACATCGTCCTGCAGGCAAATCAGTGTGGTGCAGATTTTCACGCCCCATATAGCCAACCGAAGGCCTGCAACCTCGGAAACACAAACAATTGCACAACGCAAACCTTCCTTTCTGCGGGCACAAAGCAAACAAAAAAAACCGTCTTTGGGGCACTTCCTTGGTCTCACTCGGCCGTGTGTAGGAAAATTGAGCAGCGTCATGCGTTCCGGAGACATTTAAAAAATGGCAAAACTCAATGTTGCGCACACTTACATTGGTCATCTTCATATAACGGTATCCGATATATAATTGTTTACGTAAGCGGCAAAATTGTAGCACCTTGCTTACTGAACTGCTTAAGTAAAGTGACAAAGAAAGTGGTCTATTGCTATTCAGAGGATTTCGGAGGTTTCGTATCTAATTTCCTTTTGATTATTATTACTTTTTTTTTGTTCCTTTAAAAATAGTAACAATAACTAAAACTTACAATTACAGTATTACTATTTTTCTAAGAATAACAACAGTTATTATATTTTTTTTATTCTTATTCTTATTCCTCTTCTTATTATTATATATTTTCTTCTTAGCATTTTCTGTTATATTTATCTACGTATATTTATATCCAAAGGCCCTGGCGTCAGGTGTCCTTCTCAAACCGGGCCGGTGTTTGTTTTGCATGTGTTTGAGTGTGGGTTGAGATTCCACTGTACAGGCACTACCTGCTGTGATGTACAGGACCCAGGGTTGGGTTCATCCTGACTTGCTACATTTGACTTGGACGATTTTTGCTTCTTATTTGGAGGCCGAATACATGATCTTTAGGTTCTGCAGTGGAATAGACGATTTGTTGCGCAAGAACATGATGTTTGTTATTGTTAATGTATATGCGTAGAAAACTGTATTGGAAGCCTAGCCAGCACAAGGAGACCAATGCTTGGTGCCAAGCAGTGCTTGCCTCGTTCTTGTAGCAGCACTTGCCAGGCCAGAATGTGGAGTGGTGTTAGCTAGGGAAGAGTTTGAAAAGACATGGTTATGTTATGTGTGGTATTGGTTGACCGGTAGCCCAGTTGCCACCAGGAAAAAGAAACCGAGGTTTGTGGGCAAGGGGAAATTTCAGAGCTGTTGCCAGGGCCAACCGGTGTCCTCGTCGTCCACAGCCAAAGTCGTCGAGCCGCTTTCTAGAGGTGCCATTGGGTTGGACCAAGTTCTTGGGATGGTGTGGTCCGCCAAGGAGAGCAATGCGGAGGTTTAGAATCCAGATTCATGCGAGTGAGCGCCAAACATTTAACGTGGCTTGAGTCTGCACATGTTTAGAAAGTTCATGGGGCAGCTCACACTTCAACCACTCTGAGTCTACCAAAATGACAAGCAACCGGGGCGATTTCCAGTGGACTACAATAAATGTGGCAACACGCATGTGGGCCCAGGACAGTGCAAAGGTGCAGAGGACGCTGGGGTGTGTGACCAGTCAGAGCCAGTGAGGGCGCAGTAGCAAAGCTCCAGAATTTTGAGCAGGGTCATATCAAACAACGGTGAGTAGAAGAGAAGTTTATTTTCATGCCAGTTCCATGGCTTCCAGACATTCTGAAGGGAATATGTGGTTGCTTGCGCTTGGATGGATCTTTGGTTGTATGAGGTTGGCTCAGCTCAACCCAGAAAAAATTGACAGGAACAATTCAAACCTGGTAGTAGCACTTCTGCAGCCATGGCAGAGACATTCGCTTTCAATGCTGACATCCAGCAGTTGATGAGTCCAATCCTGAGTTGTTCTGGCACTTACCCATCTATGTGCAAGCCTTAGACAAAAGCATTGAATCAATGCAGTACGTAGTTCAATTTCAATACGTAACCTTTCAGCTCTCATGTTGCGAAATAGTTTGCTGGGCAAGAAATTTCGCACATCTACCTCCCGATTTTTTCATGATAGGTTATAATCAAGCTCCTTTTTTGGGACACGGGGAAATGCGTAGATGATTCAAGATATGGAGGAGGCAGTAAGAAAATCTTCATGTTTTGTGGTATCTTTAGAGGGTTTGGTTTAGATTTTTTTGAGTGTTCATGGGCGATTGAGCTTGGATGGGCGATGCTCCGTGTGGAAGTGTCCAAGGCCTTATTATTAATACCTTCTACTCGAACAAGGAGATCTTTTTGCGCGAGTTGATCTCCAATGCCTCAGATGCCTTGGACAAGATCCGTTATGAGTCCATCACTGATCCTGACAAGATTGAGGCGCAGCGTAAGTTTCAAATGGAAGGACTGCTTCAGAGCTCGCTATTTCACGTGATTTCGCCACGACCCTACTTCTATCACCCCCCTTTGCAGTACATGTCCCACAGTTGTGTGTCCATGGTTTGCAGCATGTCAAAAAAATGGACTTTTCAGAAAACCAAGCCGTCAAAGCCTGATGCCGAGATGAAGGAACGGATGGGTTGGCTTAAGGAGATGAGAAAGATGTGCAGAGTGCTTTGATTTTACATCACATGGTGGAAATCCGAAAGCGCTTCCTTGCCAGGGGTAGTCCTCAGTCAGCTAAGGGTGTTGTCCTTGAGCTCAAGGGACCGACTTTTTCATGAACGCCGGACTTTGGCCTTTGCAAAAGTTCATACATGTGGCAGGCCCCGCCCAATTCCTACAGCACCTCCTCCCGGTGGTGGGCACGGGCCATGATCTGGTACGAGAGCTTCTTCAGAAGATGTTGCGCCTTTTTGCTGCATTTGTTCTTGCAAATGGGTGCCTTGGCCCTTAGTGCTGGACTGTTTGCTGATTGCTCAGTCCAACGAGATGTCACCAGCAGTGTTTTGCTTTGTGCTCTTCAGTGCGGGGCTGGCTATATATGATGACATGTGGTTTCGTGATGCGAAACAATTCCCCCCAGTTACTTGGTACCTCAGTCCTACCCGTTTTGTTGGCAAGCAACGTTTGCCATGCCAAAGAGATCAAGGATCTACCAAGTCGCTGTTCTGCATTGAGTGTCTAGAGCAACAGCAGCACTGCATTCGTTGTTGAGAGGAGGAGCAAGTGGATCAGCCGTCTTGAAGTGAAAACAGAAGGAGCAAGATCTTGGGCTGAAGTTGCTGCTGATGTGCTAGCATCCCCCAGTAGCTCTGTTTATAGACACACCGGAAGAGACGAGGGTGGCCTCCTTGGTGCACTTGGTGCTCTTCTAAACAAATGTAGCACCCAGAAGCAGCACGAGATTTCCATTTTTTAAGCTCTAAAGTCTCTGGTGAACAAATTTCAGCTGATGCGCCACCATCACCTGAAACCACAAGAGCCGGTGGTTGACAATAGAAAGAAAAATCGCCTGATGCCGCACCGTTTTGGCCGGCCGCTGCCCGGACAAAGCGGACCAAACCTGCAAGTGAGAATGGTGAAAGCTTCCAACCTTCCTCGAGACAGCCTCCAAGGATCGTCGATGGTTTTGGAAAGCAGCTTTGTAATTTCCGTATGTTCAACCAATACTTCGAAGAGGGAAAGCTCCCCGAGAACTGCGTTGGTGCCGGTGCCCTTGTCAAACTGGAAAATTGGAAAATGTTCAGAAGCTTCAAGTGCTCGCCAAAGTGCATGGTTTGCGAGACCAGCCTTTTGCCCTGGTGATTTGGAACCACAAACGTGACCTTTCAGATGCCCCACCATAAAAGATGCTGTCGGTGGATATTGACTGACCGTCACAGAGCCCTGTGCATGCCAGTGTTGAAGCTAGGTGACTCGTTGCCTGCTTTACCAGCCGAGCCAAAGGTGAACAAAACTACTGAGGTTAAAGCTGAAGACTTACAGACTGTACGTTTCAGCATCCAACCAGAACTTCTTCCAACAGAATGGATGGCAGCTCGAAAAGATCCCGCTAAATATGTGCAGCAACTCCTCCCAGAAAGAGCCAAGTGCGATGCTATTCTTGGAAGGAGGTATGCATTGACAACAAACCCATGTTGACTGGGTACGAAAAATGCACGCCCGATTGCGCA